ACGCGGAGAAATACCGAACGATGGAGAAGGCGCGAACAAGGAATTGAATGAGTTAGAGTCAATCGGGTGGCATGGCTCAGCCATGCAGGCGTGGTCCCTCTGTATATTACCTTATATCTTTTGTTCATATTAAATATATTGTTCCTTCTCCAGCCTAACCTTGTTCTGCATCATGTATTGGTAATTGATACGATACAGTGAGTTGGTGTAGACGATGATGTGACTTCCACGTAAGATTTTATAGATTAGGCAGTTATATCATGACAAATCTACAATTTTAGGATTAGGTCTATTATTAGAGCAGCACTAATATCATAGTAGACCATAATTCTACAAGTGTTCGCTTTGATTGTTTTTTTTAATCGACGAAATGGACATAACGCTTGTGTTTTTGTACGGTTCTGCCTGAATGTGTTGAACAAGTAAGTTTGATACTGGGATTTTCTTCCTTGTCTGATCTAGTGGTGGTTGCTGGGAGGGGTTGGTTAAGTGCAGTAGTATCTTCTTTGTCGTGCTGTGCTCCGTAGAACGCAGGTTTTATTCTATCAATGGGGATAGTTCCTTTCTTTCCACTCTTATTGATTATGAAGTGTATGTTCGTTCTTCTAATTACTTGATATGGTCCTTCACAAGGCTGTTTCAACGGCTTTTTAACATCAACTCGAACGAAAACAAACTTGTATGTTTCTAGGTTTTTGTCAAGTTGCACTCGATTGTCATGTTCCTGAGGCGGTGTGGCTTTGATTCTATCCATGGTTTGTAGTAGTTGGCTGGCGAAACGACTTGGGTCTGTTGATGTTGATGGATTTGAGTCTACGAGTTGTCCTGGTAATGTGAGAGTTGTACCATAGACTAACTCAGCAGCTGTACACCCTATATCTTCTTTGATCGTTGAAGGGATACCTAGGAGTACAAGAGGTAATGCATCGCTCCATTTCGATATGTCGTTTTGTGCCATCTGCGAGCTTTTTAGTTGGCGCTGAAATCTTTCGACCAAGCCATTAGCTGCTGGGTGGTAAGCTGTGGTTTTAATGTGGTTGACCCCTAGAAGTTTAGTGAACTCCTGAAAAAGGACAGATTGAAATTAGGGATCACGATCTGTTGTGATTATTGATGGTACTCCATAGTTAGATATCCAGCGGTCGAGGAAGACTGAAGTGACTGGTTCTGCCGAAGTGTCTTTTATGAGGCAGGCTATGGCCCATCTAGTAAACCTGTCTACTGCAGTAAGGATGTGCGTGAAAGAGTTTGATGGTGGCAGGGGCCCCACTAAGTCTAAGTCCACGTGCTGGAAGCGTTTGTCAGGGATAGGGAACTTCCCAATTGGACTGGAGGTGTGTTTCTGCGTCTTACTGCGTTGGCAATGGAGACAGTTACGTGTCCAACGCTTAACATCCGAGTTGACTTTTGGCCACACAAAACGTTCGGTAATGAGCTTTGTTGTTGCTTTGATGCCTGGGTGTGAAGGACCGTGCAAATCTGAAATATTTTTCGTCGACAAGCGTGTGGGACAAACGGACGATTGTTGCCTATTGTGGTGTCACAGATGATAAATGAGTCTGAGAAAGCAATCGGTACGCCTTTAAGTATCAAGTTAGACGTCACTTGGCAGCTTTTTATTTCTGCGTCGTCTACTTGCAATTTTGCGATTGTTTCCAAATCGATATCCTCCTTACGTACCGGGGTATTTACATCCATTCGTGATAATGTGTCAGCTACGACATTAGTGTGTCCTTTGATGTATTGGATATGTGTTGTAAATTGGGAGATGTAATCTAATTGTCGTACTTCGCGCGGTGAATTTCGGTCGTATGAAGTATTGAACGAGTAACACAAAGGTTTGTGGTCAGTCATTATGGTGAAGGTTCTCCCTTGTAGTAAGAAGGTGAAGTGTTTAACGGCTAAATACATGGCTAGTAACTCCCGGCCGAAGGTGCTATAGCGTTCCTGAGCTGCTGACAGTCTTTTGGAGAAAAACGCTATAGGTGTAGTCACGTTGTTTACTTGTTGTTGCAGTACTGCCCTGACGGTTTTTTGAGATGCATCCCTGCACAGAATCAAGTCAGTTGTGGGGTCAGTATTTAGATGTAGCATTGTAGCATTGGATATCATTGATTTCGCTTTACCGAAGGCCTCTCTTGCTTCGGAGGTTAAAACGAAGGTATTCTCCTTTTTCGTCTGAGCTGTAGCTTTATTCGTCTTCAGCAGATCTGTCAAAGGTTGTAAGGTGGTCGCACAGTTGGGGAGAAAGCGTCGGTAGAAGTTGCACATCCCCAGGAACCAACGTAATGCCTTTATCGATTTGGGCTCGGGAAAGTTGACTATGACTTCGACTTTTTCTTCAAGCGGTGTGATTCCTTGGGAATCAGTGTGATGTCCCAGTAATTCCAGAGTTGAGGCCCCGAATATACGCTTCGAAAGGTTGATTACAACATCATAACTTTTGAAACGTTCGAAAAGTAAGTGCTGAACATGCTCTTCAGTGGAAGAACGAGCGATTAAAACATCGTCGACATAGACAAATACAAAAACCAAACCCCTGGTTACTCCGTCAGTATATCTCTAAAAGGTTTGAGCGGCATTTTTTAGTTCGAAAGGCATCCTCAAGAATTCGAACAAGCAAAAAGGTGTGATTACGGCTGTTTTTCAATATCCTCAGGTGCCATCGGTATTTGATGATATGCCCGTACTAGATCTAACTTCGAAAAGATCCGTTTTCCATGTAGGTTCAAAGAAAAGTCGTGTAAGTGAGGAATGGGGTATCGATCCAGAATAGTCAGGTTGTTTAAACGGCCGTAGTCTACACAGGGCGCCAATCTTGACCCTTTTTCGGGACCATATGTAGTGGGGAAGCCCATGGGCTGCTAGACTGCCTGATGATGCCTAGTTGCATCATGTGCTCGAATTCTCGCTTAGCAACTGTTAGTTTATATGGGGGCAGTCTTCTTGGCCTGGAGCGTATTGGAGGACCTGTGGTGGTAATGTGATGTTGCACATGATGTGGGTCGCATTCTTTTTGATAGTCTATTTTCGTAATGCGTTCGTGTTCTGTCAGTCTGTCGTTGAAAACGTTGTTCACAGGCTTCATTATTCGTACACCATGGATTTCATAGTCGTTGGAGGGTGTACCGTCTACTTGTAAAAGTGTATTTGCATCGATTAATCTCTTCTTAGTCATATCTACTAACAAGGGTGGGTCGTTTGACATGAGCAACTATGAAAACCCATGTAAATCTTCTGTGGAGTCCGAGGTCTAATATAAGTGATTGTTCACTGTACGTTTTGATAATTGATTCGTTAGCCACTATTAGGGACAGTTTAGTGCTTGTTGTCTGTTGTCTGCAGGAGAGATAGGGTGGGATGATGCCGATTTCTGCTCCAGTATCGACTAAAAAGTCCGAGCCAGAAATACGATCCCTGATGTGAAAGAGGCGGCTAACGTGTTGGGCAGTAACAGACGCCGCCGGCTCGTTTCCTTGATGGTTTGACTTGTTTGTCGTAAAGTTGCACGGTTTTGTGCAACGACGTGCTTTCTCTCCATAGTTCGAGTGATACCAACAAATTCCGGCTGCCCGTTTGGGTGACTTGAGACGATATCTGGATACTGATCTCTTTCTAGACGTAGATCTGGCAGGTCGAGAATGAATGGTGACAATAGTCGCCTTCAGCGATGCTAACTGTTGCGTTTACTGTGTGATTTGTTGCTGGATGTTGAATGTGTCGTTCATGTCTTCTCTACTTGAGGATTGTAACGCGTTAACGCCGAGACTATCGGGTTATATTTCTATCATCTTATCGGCCATGTCTGATAAATCGTCAAGGTTGACAGAGGCTCCTGATATACTGAGATTTTGTCTGACGTTATGTGGTAACCTTTGTAACCACATCTGCTTAAGTAATGCTTCGTCTAACTTGTATGAGCCTGCTAGCTGTCTCATATATCTGAGCAACTGTGGTTTTTTATCCCCTAACTCGCATGCGGTGAGCAGTTGCTGTAAGCGTTCTTCATCAGACTGCGATGTACGGTGGATTACTGCGGCTTTTATTTTGTCACAGGGGTCCGTTTCTATTACATTACCGATCAGGTCTCCGACTTCTGTTGCCATTTCTATCGGCAATGCTCCAACAACGTGTGCATATTTTGTCGCTTGCGAGCGTATACCTCTCGCCAAAAATAATGCCTTAACCTGTGCAAACCAGATTTTGGGATTATTAACACCGTACGTTGGTAATCTTAACTCTGAAATAGTGTTGACCGAGCTTAGAGCATTATCTTCTTGTTGTGAAGAGTTTAGGGGGTTGGTCGGTGAACTATCTATATCAATGAGTTTACCAAGAGAGTTCATAGTGGGGAAAACAAAAATGAACTAGCGTGCGAAGTAATAACAAAAAAATATATATATAAACAGTAAAGGTCTATAATGAATTCGAGGCTCACCAAATAATTGCGGTGGACCAGACAATGTATAAACGTGAAAAGTATCAACAAAGTTATTGAAGATCAATATCAATATTAATATATACCAGTTAATTGTTACAAATACAATAAAAAATTGGGACTTTACTTAGGTTCACCAAATTGATGCGTGTTCAGCTTTAGTCTGGTACAGTAAATCCACAATTATAAATGCTTGGTAATTCTAATAGGGTTGACGAATTTTCCAGTAGTGTAATCCTACGTAAGGTATGGTATATTCCCACTCACAGTCTATAAATGTAGGTAATATTTGATTTAGATTTCAGTTAACTCAATCACAAACGAAAATAGAACGAGAGATATGTGCGTAGCATTGTATTTGTTAACAAGCCGCAGTATGTCACGCTGTCAAGGTCATTCACTTAAACAACACGTACAGTCATACAATGATAGATGTACATACTGTGAAAGGTTGACAAAATAAATACAAATAATATTAAAAACTATTCACAAAATAAACTTTTCAGTCATGTCTTCACAAGTTTGATCAGTGGTGCGCAACATACAATTGTAACGTTATAGTATGCGTCTTAGAACATCGGTTGTTTTCCGTGGGAGTTTACTGGCCACCACAGGAAGACGCAATGAATCTAAAAGTCTCGATTGTCATCAAAAGTTTCTTCCACTGGAAATTCGGGGATTGAATGACCTTAAGCCCAGAGACAACAGACATATATTTTCCAAAGAAGTTGGTTTATTCTTTACTGTTCAAAATAACAATAATTCAGAAACCAGTTATTTTGCACGAAAGATTCCGCGATTTTATCGATTGGACAAATATATGGCCAGCTGCTGCTACATTCCACCACTCTCTTGTTCCTTTTCGAGTTCGTCAAGGCTCTTGTAAAGTTAGTGTACATAAAATTTAACTTTAAGGCTGACAGAATTTGTCAGAAAACGAAGGTTTTCCCCCTGAAAAGTACGCAAATGCTGAACTAATGAAAATCCCCAACTTTTTACATCTCACCCCCCCACACATTAAAAAGCATTGTGATGCGTTAAAAAGTAAGAGTAAAAGTATTCATTTTTGTAAAAGAATTTTGCACCTTATGGCCTTCTGGTTTGAATTCGAATGAAACAGTTGAAAAACATTACCCTGTTGTAATAGTTAACCGCTCCTACGTATTTGCCTCTTCAAATATACGTGACCCTCGTTCCCGTTTTGTAACTCTTCAGGTAAGCCTACAAAGAGTCTGAATTTACTTTCATACTCGTTGATCTCAACTTATATATAATGTGCCAATAAAATTTTATGTCCAGATATATCGTATTATTCTGGGGTATACAGTGTCGGTGGGACTCGGTTTTTCTTCAACTTGCAAGACCTTGTTCAAATACAAGTTTGTGTGCATTGTCCAAAGACTAGTAGTATTGCACGACCACTGAAGCTGAAGCAGATGGACCAAGTTTCTATTAGATTCGCCAAATAAATGGCACTGAAAATCACGAAAATAAGAGGTTTTTTCTTCCCGAACATTTAAACCTTAATAACTTAATAGGTATGAATGCCAAGGTTGGACTTGATTGTTTCAAATAAATTGAGCATTCGGTAGAAAGTTAATAATAAATATGTCTTTTTGTTCTATCCCAATGAGCGGAGAACTTGTATTTCCGGTGTTTCGTGGCAATGTAAACCACTTCTTCAAAGTACATAAATAACCAGTTTTATTTTAACTTGTGTTAGTTTATTTTGGTTATTTACTCTGAAGAAGTGGCCTAATCACTTAGTTTTGTAAGGCTTTACCGATTATTTTATTCGAAACTAGTGACCATAATTCACTACATGTCCCTTTTCGCCAATCGTTTTGACAGAACTCATCGTAATTGTTTTAGTTTCAGCAGTGGGTCCCTAGTTTTCATCCTAGCTTTGATATACAATGTCGCATTATTTGCGTGACTGGTCACGGATATTTTGTTTACTCAAATACTGATGTGACTATTTTGTATGGTCCATGTGTTTCTAGCCGGAGTTAAATTACATGTTCTAGGACAAAAAACATCCAGTCAGAGTTTTCTCCAGAAGCTATCAGTAACACCATGTCTCTATTATCCAGGTTCTACGTTGCTCATCTTATTTTACCTTTTATTTGAACACATAAATATTCATACAATAGAGTGAATAAATGACGTAAATGATAATAATAATAATAGTAATGGTAATAATAATGTGAATCGTTTGATTGTTAGTCGAAGCAAGACAAGTATTTTCCATAAATATCAACATTTCATCATATTTGTGTGTGAGCTGTGATACTGCCCGGGTGCCCAAACCGAAGCAGGTGGTTTTCTTAGGGGGCCACACCCCGAGCCTTTGACCTAATGGTCTAACCCACAAGGCAGTGGAGCATCGTGACGAGATGCATTCCCATGGTAGCCGGTGACCAACGATTGGTTCATACGCCATTTGTTGTTTCAGGTTCCTGGAGCCCATGTGCACCATTGGTTTTGAATCCGGTTAAAGCGCCGGACATTGGCTTTTCGTCCTCTCATTTTTGCAAACAGCACCCCCGCCACGAGAAGGCAGTGAGAAGGACTTCCCTGGGAGAGGCTGTATACGCGTGGCCACGTGAGAGCTTTTCGAGAGGGGGCGGGCCCAACCCACTCTCTGCCATACCAGGGCATTTAGGGATAGTTGCTTATGAGTGAAGTCTTTTATGCTAACATACTTTTTCGAGTCAAATAGTAGCCCCTTTTAGTTTACGTTGGTGTTTATATTATCCAGGTAGTGTTTACACAAATCCTAATTCCGAAAATTGAATCAGCACCCAAGACTGTTGTTTACAAACATCATTTTGTTTTTTTAAACTCGCTTATGTTTACTTATTGATATTCTCGCCACGTCCAATTCATCGTATTACGTAGTTACTTAAAACGTAAAAGTTCCTAGTAAAAAGTATGCTTGACAAAATTATAGTTAAGGATAATGAATGCACAAAAATAGATTGCATATGAATATTGGTGTCTGTACAGTTATCGACTCTATTCCTTTGATAGTTACTCATGAAACTTTCATTTAAGTACTGTGGGAGGTATACAACTCAAACACCTTAGGTGAATTATTTAATTCTCAACACTCATCCTAACGGTCAAATACATTTAATTTCATAATTGATTGGTCGCTGAATAGTGACTACTATCGTATATGTCAAGTACTTCTTAGTGCTGATCGAACTCTGTTGATCAAGTTGATATTTAGCCACCAGTGTAGGTCACTTAATATCGTGTGAACTATGTTAAGATGTAAGATAATGGTTTGAGATATTTGGTTCCAGAACATTCGCGGTTTAAATAGTTCAGTGGTAACGTCTTCCACTGTAGAGTTAGGTGACAGGGTCATATCCCCTTTGGAGCACCAGTTCCTTCAAAATTGCGTGTAAGCCTCGCTGACGAGCGCCAAATCTAACGAAGCCTAGGTCCAGAGCTTTTTGTCAATAGATACAACCACCAATACATTATTTGGCTTTAATTTTCTATAGATCTTGTTGCAATGAGTATACCACAAGGAGGAATCAAGTACCAACTATTAATATTCTAGTTTACGTGACATGCTATGTTTGATTTGACTTGGGAAATTATCAAGTTAGAATACTTAACTTATACAGTCCGGATTTTTCTTTGAAATAACTGTCGGTTTACGTTCTAGATACGCCTTTCTAACCTTTCGTTGGACGAACATGCTAGAAGAAAGCTTTTACGGCTTGCGATAGGTCCTGGTCCAGGTCGCAATATTGCAACATATGACTGGAATACAGATATCTTAGAGTTAACCTCAGCGAGGTGTCCAACATCAAAGCAGAACTCCGACTTTTTAATATACTTATTGACAGTTCTTACTATGGAATCAAAAGTAAGCTCGCTTTGGTTTTATATTAAACTTCTGGCTTGTTTAGTGTAATATTTCTATCACTGAAAATACATACCTTTAGGGATTTTGTTTAAGAAGAGACAATAATTTACTTAATGAGTAGTATTTTAGCTGTAATGAATTGCAATTTTAAAAAGCCTATAAATGAATAAAAAGGTTTACATTAGTTCATACTCTTGCTATCTATCATATTTTTTATTTGTGATACTAGATTTGATTAGTTTCCAAAGGTAACTTTCAACATAAACCAAAATATTTGTGAGAAACTACGGTTGTTCAAGATTGTTGTGAATCAATTTTGCTTCGATTTTATGTGTTGGAGATGGTAACTGTATTTGATCATCGTTGTCTCCGAAGGATTACTGATATTCAGTGGCAACACCATGTTAGTAATACAGAAATTCGACAACGTGTGTTCGGGCATAGTCAATCATCTACAACGTAAGACCACATATATGCATCGGTCCAAGTTGCCATGCCTCATTAGCACAACAAGATGAACGTCAAATTCATTAAACCAGTTACTTCATTGGTAGTAATATGTAAAAAAAGATTGCATATAAGGATATAATACAGGGAGAAAGAATTATTCGGGCACAGTTACAATAATCTAATTGTTGTTACGATCCTGAAACACAGAGTTCTGTGGCTTGGATATATAATGTGAATGTCGTCCCAATGAACTCAACATTTTATATTATTTTTTGCTCAGTTTGATTGTTAAGAGCGGGGAGATGATGAGTCGGCGCTATGAGATGAAAGAAAGCTATACAGGACTGTCGTTCATGACTCCCTAGTTAAGGTCTTAGAGACGGTGCAACAGAGTGACTTGAGATGTTATTAAGCTTTTTCCAACCAGCCTCAGAGTCGGAAAAAATGCAAGATGTTGAATTTGTTAAAACGACATTCACAGTACAGATCCAAACCACTGAATTCGGTGTTTCAGGATGGTGACAACAATTGGATTGTCATCACTGTGCCCGAACACACGTTGTTGAACTTCTGTATTACTAACATGATGTTGCCACTGAATATCAGTCATCCTTCAGAGACAACGATTGTCAAACACAGATTCGCTTAACATCCTCAACTTGGAGAGGCCAAGTTTCACAGGCGTAGAGAAAAACTGCTGTCATTGATGCATTGTAGATTCGACTTTTTACATCCGGTGTATCACCACGAAAGCTCTAAAGACTCATCAAATTAGCATAAGCCGATCTAGCTTCCATTATACGTGAATTAATCTCATCATTCACCCCACCACTAGCTCTAACTCAGGAACCCAGATACTCCACCATTACCTTCATCTGTCAGCTGTTCCCAGGACACCATTGATGGAAAAGTCGAGAAGTGATGAGGTTAGACAACCTTCCTTAATCTCACTGTCTGAATAAAATAATAGAGTGAGGTGGTCGTATACTCTCACTTTGCGTGAGCTGTTTGTATATAAGGCTTTCAATATGTTAGTAAATTTCCCAGACACACTCTTCAATAAACAATTCCAGAGAATAGTCATATTCAAGAAGTCGATGGTGGGCCCGATTGTCGAGAAGCACAACGACTTTTGGCCTGCAATAAGTATGGCGATGTTTTAACATTTAGCTAAGGGTGAAAATATGGTCATAATATCCTCGATAAGAACGAAAATCGATCTGCTCCTCGCGAGTCAATGTTTCCCGAGTTTTGAACAATCTACAAAGTATGACAGAAGGCAATAATTTGAAAGCGATCGGTAGTAGACCTATCCCTTGATATTTGTTGCATAGGTAACGTGAATCTTTTTTAAGATATGAACAACTTTTGACCCATTCCATGATGCTGCAACACTAATTACCAGACGTTCGTAAACAACAGTCACTTCTTTAACCAAGAGGTCGCCACCATCTTCAAAAAGGGCTAGAGGTAGTTCACCTGGGCCTAGTGATTTGTGGCATTTCAAGAGTTGGAGTTTTTTGCGGACTTCCGCCTCATTAGGTAAGTCAGTCTTCATCGGCCATGGAGGACGGGACAGTCTGATCGATGTTGCCGAGACAGCAGACCAGGTGAACTGTTCCTCAAAAAACTGTCCATTGTCCGATACGTCGGTAAGTGTTATTGGTCAGCATCCCACTAGCCTGATAGACTGTTTCACTCACAGCAGACGTTTTGCTGCCAATGGCTTGGTCTAGTTTCCTGCAGTTACCAGATGCAGCTCTTGCTTCCAACTCGTTAGCGAGCTCCGACCACCATGTTTCTTGGTCCTTACGCAAACTCCAGTCTTAACAAAGTACAAGAGGCGAAAAAATATTTCTCCACAATTACTTCTCAATAAATTGGAGACTTTTTGTAGAAAACAATAAGAATTAAAATGTACCAAGTAGTTTCTCGTTAACTTTATTTATCTGAGCAATAAGGTAAGAAATAATAGTTTAACATGAAAAGATGGTTCATCTGTGAATTATTTCATTGTCAACCTGGTGTACTAGCGTGGGATTGTTTATCGTTCTATATTTTCTATTTTTTTCAACCATAATGGACGATGCTCGGAAATCAGATGATGAATTTGTCTTGTACACGAAATGTAATATTCTCCGCAATAGGAGGCAAAGTCAGATAGCCTTTGTTAGGTACAGCGTATGGTTGGAGAAGTCTGTCGTCAAATTTCACAGCTAACTCCAAGGTTTACCCAATTGCTTATTTAAAGATGGATTTTTCACAGTTTTGGTTAGTAACCGTGAATTTTGTAGTTAGTTGTGCTAAGAGTTAGAGTAGATGTCTACTAATGATAGTATATCACTCCAAACATGAAGTGTCTGGAATCACAGTCACTATTAATGATGTAGAGATAATGAAAGAACCTGGTCAGTTGGACTGATTCTGAATTAAGCCACTTAATGTCTCTAGTCGTTCAAGAATACATCTTACAATACAACGCAAAATAACAATCAGTGATTTCGTGAACTCATCCCATTTCTATTAACAACTTCCGTTAAACTTTTTATTACCTGTTCTTATGTTAGAAAGTACTTCACTTCTGATTAGGTTCTGCCTACGGATGAGTAAAACAAGCCGGTTTTGGTCAATAAAGATCCATAGCCACATCAAAGTGATCTACCATTTATATTTAGTATCGTACGCCTAACGTCTTCGGGATTACTATGTAGTCTCATAATGTGCGAGAAATGTTTCAAAGCTAAACTTAAATGCTAGCAACCACCTATGTCTCTTTTGAAGGCTGTAACTCAGACAGAATTACCCCTGACTACTACTACTATTACCACTACATGCTAGGGGAGAATATACTTCATAATTTTTTTATTGTTTACGCCCAAAAAACCTGCTACCCCTCGTTCGTTTGTATTTCAGAAAACTGAAAAATGGGAAATAGATAATCCGGAATATGATTGGGTACAATTTGATTGGGATAAAAGTGAAACACGCCGTCGTCTTTTCAACTTACTTTCATTGTGCGATAGTGAACAAGTTATCAAAAAAAATCAAATAAAAGAAAGGGATTTCACAACCGAAGTATGTGAAAATGTTTCTATGAACAACTTTTTTTGTAAAATTACCAAAAATAATTTTTTTTCTCAAGTAAGAATGGTTTATTTATTCTGTGAACCGGATGACTCAACAAACATCCAAGTCGTAATGTAGAAGTTACCAGACTCATATAGCCAAATAAACAAAACATTATGCGAATAACAGTTGACCATTAGAGTAGTCAGTCAGTCAGTAACAATGTAGAACTTCGTACGTACGTACATCAGTTCGAGTTGCCACACCACATTAGCACAGAGATGCAGTGGTCGATTCAAATCCCGTAGTGGTGGAGGTAATAAGAGTATAAGCAGTAATCAGGAAAATTAGTGTTTGGAGATGTTATTTAAAGAGTATAATACAGTGAAATAAATTTGGGAAGCGAAAAAAAGAGACAAGGAGGAATAAGGATATCAAAATTTGAGAGAACACAAAGAGTGGATGCACCTGCGCCATTGCAAACGATTTGGGGCCATGTCATTCAGGGTCTCTAACCATCGGTTGCTATCATCTCGCCGGGAAGTGACACCAGCCCTCATACTCGTAACCATTAGAGTAAATCCTACAGAAAACGAATTAAGACAAACAGTCACACACTTCATTGTTTCTGTCTGTGAATTCTGAGGATCATTCTATTTCTCGTCCCTTGATCTTGCTACTACAATATATTCGGTTTCAGCTTATGTATCTGATGTTTTTCAATCACCTCAATCAATGGCATTTTATAAACTAAATATCGTCTACTGAATATGTATCCAGATATCATTCGGAGAGTCAAGTGAAATGATCGAAATCTGTTCAAGTGATCCAATAAGAGCAGAGGATAAACATCCATCATCCTCTATTGCTAAACATATAATTGAAACAGGCCATAAGATTGATCTTAACTCTGCTTTCGTGGTGTTGTATAAAAGTGTAAAAGGGCGTGTACTAAGGTTTGTTGAAGCATTAGCCATACGAAAATTCAAACCCCCTTTGTGTATTCAGAAACAGTTTGTTCTCAGCTTAATTATTTATTATTTGAACAAATAAATATTGGTACAAGAGGGCACCAAATATATATGCGCCACACAAAGCAATGAGAACTCGAAGAGAAAAAAAGAAAGTAAGGAGCATTAAAAAAGTACAATAACGAACAGATTAGTGTAAGGTAGTGTAATAGTAATAAAAAAAATAATAATAGTAATAATGGGGGAAACGGAAAGGTACAATCAGAATAAATCTTTCAGTTAAGGAAGAAACATCCGTTTTTTATGAAGAAAGTAAAAGAAGTTTACAGCAGGATCGCCACTGGCTTCTATTCTGAGCCATATCTGATAACGTTTCTAGCCACTGTGTAACACTATCTCTCGGACCCCAACCAGGGAGTCGTGAAGGACCGACCCAAGCCAGCCCTTTGCAGCTTTCTTTCATGCCACGACACCATATCATATACTGACCACCTCTCCGCTTTTTCCAACCAGTCCCAGAGTCGACAAATAATGCTCGACATGGAATTCTCTGGGACGACATTCGTAGAACATGTCCAAGCCACTGAAGTCGATGTTTCAAGATGGTGAAACCAATTAGATTATCGTCTCTGTGCCCAAACCTCTGCATTACTAACATGGTGTTGCCACTGGATGTCAGCAATCCTTCGGAGACAACGATGATCAAACACAGAGTCATCTAACGTCCTCAACTCAGAGAGGCCAGGTTTCACAAGCATAGAGCAAAACTGCTCTCATCGACGCGTTGTAGATCCGACCTTTTAAGGCCAGACTAACATCACGAAGGCGCCAAAGATGGCCCAGATTGGCATATGCCGCTCTGGCGTTCACTATGCGTTCATTGATCTCATCACTCACATCCCCACCAGCACTTATACAGCTACCTAGATACACGAACTTCTCGACTACTTCTATCTGCTCACCATCCAGGGTGAATACAGGATTAGAATCCTACCAGTCTTGTGGAAGTACTCCGCTCATCGAAGGTGCAAAGCACATACCATACCTACGGACATTGATTGTCAACTGATTAAGTGCGGATTGCATGCCTTGGGCATTATCGCACACTAAGACAATATCATACGCATACTCAAGGTCGAGAAGTCTTTCACCGGGCAACAGATCCACACCACCATTACTTACATTCATCAGAGCTGTTTCCAGAATGTCATCGATGGCAAAGTTGAAGAGGAATGGTGAGGTTGGGCAACTCTGCCTAACCCCACTGTTCGAATGGAAAAATGGAGAAGGGTGGTTGTATGCCCTCACTCTGCCTGAGGTGTTTGTATATACGGCCTTTAGGATGTTAATAAACTTCTCAGGCACACCCTTCTTCAATAGACAATCCCAGAGAACAGTCCTGTCCAACGAATCGAAGGCAGCCCTGATGTCAAGAAACACTACGATTGTTGGCCTTTGATAAGTATGGTGGTGTTCTAACATTTGGCGGAGGGTGAAGATATGATCAATACATCATCGACTGGAACGAAAACTAGCCAGCCCTATCTGTTGTCTGATCTTCATTAATGTGCGAACGTTGAAGGCAGCCAGTTTGAATGGTGCACGTGGTTTCAGAAAAACTGCTTCAGTATTCATATTTGGTGGTAGCACACAATTTTCACCCAGGCAGTGACTCGAGAACGTTTAGATAGAACCGAGTTTCCACCATAGGCGAGCTGCTGTATAAATCGAAAAATAAGGATACACAGAGTGGGCATAAAAGAGAGTCAACAAATGACGTAAATAATAATAATAATAATAATAATAATGTGAATCGTTTGATTGTTAATCGAAGCAAGATAAGTATTTTCCATAAATATCGACATTTCATCATATTTGTGTGCGGGCTGCGATTAGGTTTCAAATTATGTTCATTATTATTATTATTATTATTATTATTATTATTATTATTATTATTATTATTATTATTATTATTATTATTATTTTGTTATTGTTTCCTCTTACCCCATTTCCAGTCTAGTTGACCTTTTATTTTTATATATAAATGTTCTTAACAAGTATATGTGTGATCAGATTGTTCGAAATGTATTGCGCTAATATATCACATAGTTCTGATAATATTCGTCTTATTATTACATTAGTGTTCAGTTAAGCGAACTGATAAATACATTCAGTTATAGTTATTTTCCTCATGATCAAGTTTATGGGTAAATGTTCTCCAGTTCTGCAACACTATTTTACAATATGAATGTTAGACACTAACACCATTGGATGCCGGCTCAGTGGTCCAGTAGGTTAAGCGTCCGCGCGCGAGACTGAAGGCCCTTGGTCCGAATTCTGCGAGCAGGATCGTGGATGCACACGGCTGAGGAGTCCCACAATAGGACGAAACGGCTGTCCAATGCTTCCAGGTTTCCAAAGGTGGTCTAACACCAATCGGTTCATGATCTCAATTAAAAAATTAATCTCCACAACCACTATACTGGTAATATAGATGTAGGTAAATCGATACAGTCATTCATGAGGGCATTTATAACATCATTTAGTTGGAGTTATCCTGCACAAAAGTATTAAAACTCGTTGTAACAGCTTGTAGATTTCTATAGGTTTTTTTCTTTCGAAAAATACACTAATGAATGAAATCGCTATTAGTAATTTAGTCATTACCTATACGTTAATTAATTGGATTTCCGTCTCCAGCGGTAAGGTCTCAACAAGTACGGAGCTAACATGAAAACTACTCGCAAAAAGTTCCTGTGTGACCAACCTCAATCACTTACCCCTTGGGCACTGTGGACACGCTCTCAAGTCACTAAGAGCACCTCTAACCCAATTTCCTTTTCAGGTACCTCCAGAAGGACTCTTCCATGGTGTGAGCAACCGGGAAGTAAAAACTGCCCTCATACCTCTAACAACACTCAAGATCACTGTATTCATAATCAATCTCCCTCTTCAATTCCTATTATTACTCTTACCTTGACTTTCAGCTATAAACTCCCTCTTTTGACTTTCTCCTCAAGCGACACCATAGCCAACGATTCTATTGCGCGAAATACTGTCACAAGTTTACTGAAACCTCCCTCCAAACTACAAATTGGAGCCTTCAACGTACTCACCCTATGTCAAATCGACTAGCAGGCCTCCTCGGCGAAAACCCTAGAATCTTGTACCATCGATGTATGCTGTGTCTCCGAAACACACATACAGGATCCTAGTGTGACTATTCACTTGACCACACCTCTCCAAAACGGAGAACCGACAAGATACACCCTCCGTGTATCTGGCGACCCGGTGGCTATTTCTGGCAGGTGTAGGTATAGCACTAAGTACAAGGGCAGAACAAGCACTATTAGAGTGGATCCCCGTTAACAGTCACCTATGTGCTGTTCGGCCAAACGGCTCCGTAAGAACTCGGAAGGATTGGGACACACGTCGTCACCTTCTCGTCGTTTCTGCCTACGTGCCCACTGACTGCAGCCCGGATGAAGTGAAAGATGACTTTTACAGAAAGCTGAACGCCTAGACATAGTACTCGTAGTAGGTGACTTTAACTACCAAGTGGGTAGCTTAAACGAAGCAGAAGAAAGTGGGTATTTTAATATCCCAACTCAGCGAACAATTAATGGTGATCGTCTTCTGAAACCATGCCCGGACGATCGTTTATTTTTAGCAAGCACTAATTTTAAGCATAAGGAGAGACATCGTCCAACATGACGACCCCATACACCAAACCAACGTAGACTCAAATAGACTATATTTCCATCGTTGAAGAGAGTTTATAGAAGATTGTCGCTCGTTCTGAAATACCTGCTTGGACTCCGACCATGCTCTAACACGAGTATGCATTTACTTGCGCCTCACTGGACGCAGAAAACCACATTAAGAAGACCCATTAGAGTTGAACTCAGTGACGAGAAAACCAAAACCAACTCAGGTCATACTTAGTTCAGAAAACGAGGCTGATCCTGATGTTACTTGGAAAGATATACGAACAGCTGTGGAAACAGCAGTGACATCTATTAGTTATTTGAACCAAAGGGTTACAAAAAACCAGTGGATTTCTGCCAAGTTTATTGCACTGATAGATTTTAATAAACTCATTCCATCGGGCTCTGAACACGATGAAGATCCAAAACAAATCAGATCTATAGTAACCAAAAGTCTAAGAAACAACAGTGATCAATGCTGAGTAACGAAAGCAAATGAGATGGAAAAGGCAGTGACTGCAGGTAACAACAGATAGCTTTTCGGACTAATAAAAAACTGGAATTAAGAAGTCAAGTGTAAGTGATACGACCTCGGGAACAGACGAAACTTATTTGCTCTCACTCCAAACGTTTAGAACGATGGGCGAAAGACTTTAAGGAGCAGTTCGGCTGTCCTTCAGCTACTCTACAACTACCCACCATTCCTAAACAACCTAAATTGAACATTGAAAAAGGTTCCCGGACTGTAGGTGGAATTCAAAAGGCTATAGCTATTCTGAAACGAGGAAGGGCAGCTGGTCCAGATGGATGGCCTGAGTTAACACCTGAACTAAGGGAGTGAAATAGTCGAGTGTGTTGACAACTTCACTTACCTTGGAAGTCTGATCAGCCCTAATGGGTTGGTGTCTGACGAAATCTCTGCACGGATTCGAAGAGCTCGTTTGGTTTTTACCAACTTACGTCGCCTATGGCGAACGAGAGATATCCGTCTATCAATTAAGGGACGAGTATGTTGCACAGCAGTTCGTCCCGTTCTACTTTACGGCTGCGAAACGTGGCCATTAAGAGTAGAATATACTCGTAAGCTACTATTATTTAATCACAGATGTCTTAGAAATATTGCTCGCATCTGCTGGGATCACCGGGTAATAGTAATAGTGAGGTCAGTTGCAGGGTATTAGGGAATGATAGTAAATCATTTGATGAGGTTATGAATCTTCATCGACTAAAATGGTGGTTGAGTCACGTGTTACGTATGCCTGAACACCGATTACCACGACGTGCAATGCTATCCGGTATTGGAGATAGTTGGAAGAAAGTTAGGGGCGACCAAACCAAAACGTGGCATCAGTGCTTGAAGTCACTAACTTCTAGTCTGAGCCATGTTGGTAGATGCAGACTACTTGGTTGGGGTCCGCATGACTGTCGTAACCAATGGTTGGAGACAGTTGGTGACATGGCTCAGAATCGATCACAATAGTGTCAGTGTATATACTCTCTGTCTTCCCTTAAACTATGAGAATAAAATTAGTTTTTATCCTTTTTTTCTACGAATTTTTTCTTTCTTCCTTATACAAAATCGTTCTTTTATATATCACTACCATTGAAGTGACTACTTCTATGAATTTGGTGTTCATCTTGTTGCGCTACTGAGGTGTGGCAACTTGGACCGATGCATGTATGTGTCTGGTCCTACGTTGTAACTGACCGACTAGTTTTGCTTACTAGATCATAATAATTGAAGTAAAAAGATTTTGTTACGTTCGTTTAAGATTTTCGGAAATTAGTTTTTCATCGAAAACTCAATTTGTATGACAGTTAAATGATTAGAATCTATTCACATTTAAGAAATATATGAATGAATTATGGAATTAGGATGTAATTTGTTAATTCTTCATCTACTGTGTGGTTGATGTTGATTGATTTTATGTCAATGAATTGATGCCAAAGAAACTTCGGCCAACTGGACTTTATTTTCATCGTAAGAGAATATATTGTAAGTCGTTTTCTAAGTTTGATTCTGCACACTTGATAAAATATATAGTTTTGTATTTTACCGTTTACTTCAATTTTCACTCATTTTTTTTGTCTACGTTCAGTGTACAGAACAAAATTCACAACAGATTAGAATATATATTAACGTTAAATGTTATTATAAAAATCAATTTTCAAATTACTTTCATTTCATATCTTTACATATGATTACGTTTAGCTTGAATCTAATCCTGCAATTGTACAGTATCGAAAAGCATTAAAATCTATATGGTCTGGAAACGATATACTCAATGGTGATCAATGGGTTAAACGACCTGATCCACCTAAATATCGACATGGTCGTCTTCGACCTATTCGAAATATACCATTCGTAACGGTACCGGGTGCAGATGAGAAAAATAATTTGGAAGAATACGCTTCAGCAACACGAAATCTATTTGGATTAGATACTGAAATACAACAGTCAAATTTGTAGATAGATATTTTAAAAATAATTCATCTTTGATCAAATTATTTGTACATTTATGCGTTTGGACATTTAATCATTCTTTTCCTGAACACTTGAAAATCGATGTGTACAATGCTTTATTCGAGTGCTATTAGAATTATGGAAGCGGTTGTCCCTTTTCGGCCGCTCATATTGTGGAAAGATGTTTCTTGAGGTTACTACGAAGTCCAGAGAACAAACACTTTAGGTCGGTCATAGAAGACCCTTTTATGAGTTGTTTTGAATGTGTTAACTCCATATTTTTTAATATGTCGTGTCGTCCAAATATCACGTGACAAAATCGCTATTCAAAACACTTGCTTCTATGACCCTGTTGCTGTGCTTAACTAATGACACATCAAAAAGCATAAATACCTTTCGGTCTGTAGAATATCTGTATTTTTGATATGATGGGGAAATAATTAAACCTGATCGTTAGGCGTTAATACCATTGAAAAAAGATGATGATCTTTAGCTATCATGTTTTTCAATCATCTATTTGTTAAACTGTATCTGATGCTTCCTACGTAAGCGTGCTATTTTGTTGAAAAACAACTGGACCTTTTCGCCGTCGGTATTGTCTTTGGTGTCAGTTCACTTAAGGGCTTGAATGAATTGTTTCGTCTCGTGAGTAGCCATCACTCAGTCAACGTATCACTCCATTTCACCTATCTATCAATATTGGGTTTTACTCATTCTAATAACCCCAACCCCGTTTATCAAATTATACAATAAACAGGTAAATTATGGGACACCTAATATAGTGTTGTTCATTTCGACTACTGTTGGCTAATTAATGTTGTACAATATGTCTGCGTGTTTCACTTCATACACCATAAACAATATTCAATGCGATCATAGAGAAAGATTGAATTGTCATCGTTTAAAATCATTTTTACAATCGACCTGTTTGATATGGGTAGATTGATACTTCGTCTTAATTGAAATTAAAACTGTTTATTAAGGTTCCAACAAGACCACAAGTTACCGAATTCTTGTTACTAGATGTAAATTCTTTCCTTATAATGATAACCGAGAGTACATTTTTCTAACTTATACTTCTTGCTTGACTTGACCTGTTCTTGATATGGTGAGCCAATCAGAAGGTCAGTTAGTGTCCATCGAAATTGACCTAAAGGTGAAGTGCATTTCATTGGCAAAGAAATGGATTGATTTTTTAAGAGGTAAAGCCGTATATATATGTGTATATAAATGAGTCTTTATACAATTTATCCGGTGGCTCTATGTACTTTCTTGTCCATTCTTGTGTTCTCCCTCAAGTAATCAGGTTGGGGGTTAGAGTGTAGCACGTCCTTGAACACTGATTAGTCTTCACCATTCCTGGTTTTGTTAATTTCACTGTGTTGTTATATATGTACCGAGTTGTCCTACTTCAGTTTTGTCGTACTTGAATATCAAACTTTACTCTTTACACTTCTGCTTTCTTGGGTTCTCTTATCTAAGAATTACCGTTAAAGGATTTTGTGCATCAGTTCCCGCGTATCATCGCGTTCGTATTAAGAGGATCTCGATCGTTCTTATTTAGAATTTACCGTAGCTTCAACCAACACAATCTTAGAGCACAGTAGGTTGACGTTAAAATGGCTTTCGATACCTTTTTTCATACAACTGAAGTATTTGATTCTACAGTGACAAAAAATAGACTCATTTATTTAGTTAAGATGTAGTAGCGTATTCTCGACGCAATCGAATTGTCAAAAAACTCAAGGACGAAAAGTAGGTAGTAACTATTTGTGACAAGTACTATTTGCACGTCACACACATCGATGTACAGTATTTGATGAGCGTATAGATTAATCAAACTGCAGTTCAGTTTCGCCTATCTATATCATCATCTCGATCTGTGAAGCTTATAAATAATCTTTCGCGTCAACTTGAGTCTTTGGTTATATCTGGACTGTTCAGCTATCATAGTTCTGAGTTAATTCGATTTGACTACAACCCGGATGAGATCAGTTATAAGTACATAGAACTGAGTCCTGTGTTCTGAATGTGGCTGATTGACCGATAATAGAAATGATCAAATTATTCTAGATATAATTCTCATGATGAATTCGTATTATTTAGGAAGCTTGAGGTATTAAATAATGGGTAATCCTCTATTGCAAATAGTATCGATCGGTTTACAAGTTTTAGTACCTATCTAACATCGAGTTTGAGATAACTGGATTAATACTATTGAGATAATGTTATGTAGCCCCAAATTACTGCACACTGTTAATGCCTTAGTTCACTCTTAACTTGTTTAGCTAGTGACATTTTTAGCGAAATGTAAACTGGTTGGACCATAATATCCAATACGGTTTGGCATATAATAACCTTCCTAATAATGTTGATTTATTATGTGAGGTATCCCCATGATCACTGCATCATACTTCATTTAAATTAGCTTTAACAGTTATAGATCATATTCATCATGTACTGAAATCATTCGAAAAATCGATGAAAATCTGGGAAGCTCCGAACAGCTATTTTGTCTCGGTGTGATGAATCCTTAACAGTGTATTCCTTAAGCATGGAAACTGACGATCAACTAATGCATCTCTAAGACATTTCTGTAAAGACTTGGTTGTTGCCGTTATTGCACATAAGAAACTGGATGACTGATATTGTGTTCTTCACTTTCAGACAAAATAGAATCATTAATGATTTTGTCCTGTCAGGATACGGTGGTTTTCACATTCAGGTTGCCCAAATCGTTGGAAAGTTCTTCTAGAGGTGCCTGGAAGGGAAATTTATTTTAAAGTTGCTCTTCGTGACCCGAGAGCGTAGCCACGGTGCTCGAGAGACAAGTGCTTGCGGTTGGTCACAGACCACCTTTCCGTGGCCTCCGTAACTGTCGAGACCTTACCGCCGGAGATGTAAATCCGTAGAGTAAGGTTAAGGTTTGCACTTTTAGGGTCGACCTTTTCTAACCCCACCCTTCTTTTGTGGGAAGGCAGCAGGAACGGATCTATAACAGACCGAGTTTTTGTACTACTAGGAGAAAGTATGTGAAGTCATAGTACATTGAACATTTATTTTTAAAAAAATATCTAGTATAAATACTGTAGTGGTATGTACTACGTATTTCAACATTAGTATATAACACCAATCGGAAATGGAATGCTTATCAACACAAAGTAGGGAAGATCTAATCGAAGAGAAAGGGAATAGAGTGAGTAATGATTATAGCAATAAGGGAACGATGGAATTTAAGACAATTGATGGAGGATTTGTAAAATAAAGTATAGTTTACACATTTTACCAAAGAACTTTGTAATTTTGTAGTTGTCTCTCACATATGTTCTCGTTCACAACATTAATACAATTTAGTTTTATAATAATTTGGAAGACTAGTATTCAAGTGAAATCATGTACGTTAATAGTAATAAGAATCAATCCGCACAAATACAATATATTGATTTTATTCTTTATGAATAGTGTATTGTCTATCTATAGTCCGACTACTTACTGTATGACTATTATGATGTGATGTTCTAATACCTTGATAATGTTGTTTGCGGTGATGTTGATGATGATTAATATTTTTATTTAATTTCCTTGAATTATTATTTGTCAATGTTGATTGTATCATATTATCAGATGAATATTGTACATTATTATTAGTTACTATGGATGATGGTATTTCTTTTGATTGTAATAATCGTTTATTTGTTGATTGATTTCTATGTGAAATTAATCTTTCACTAGATGATAATGGTTTCTTTCTTAAATTTATATGATTCTCAAATGAATCCAATTGTTTATGATGATGTGTTCCATCATTTAATTGTTTACTTATTCTTGATTGTATATCATAATTATTAGAAGTAGTTAATTCAGTTAATGATTTTTGTTTAGATTTATTCATTTCTATAAATTGTTGATGTTTATTTCTATGATTACGTAATTGAATTGGTACAGCAGATTGTATTATTTGTTCACCAAATATTGGATCATATATACCACTATCATTGTGTACACGTTTAGGTGGTAATGATTTTGTATAATTCATATTGTCTATAGATGGATAACTGTTTAATAATGTATTTGATTGTTGTCGATTTAGATTTATTAATGATTGTGGTATATTCAAATCAGTTCTTATCGATGAATTATTATGATGATTAACATGATAGAGAGATTCATCGCCTCTTAGACATGTTAAAGATTTTTGTTGTCCTCGTGCGATTTCAGTAGATTTATGCATAAAACATAAACCACATAATGTTGTTTTACGTCGTGATTTTGAATAAACATAAAGGTATATTTGTAATAAAATAAAACCTAATAATTGTACTAATATAACAACTAATAAGCATGGTAAATAATACCATGATTCAGGATACTGATAATAATCATACCATAGACCAATCATTATAGAATTTTCTATATAATAAAATAAATAATAAATTAAATATCTTGTACGTGTATACTTGATACCAGCATTGAAAAATTCATATAAACTAATGTAAGAATGAAGTAGATCAATGAAGAAATTTCCACAGATATCACCATGCTGTTAAAATACAAAAGAAAAAGTAATAAAGAATAAATATGTTACCGGAAGAGGTTGCTTTTTTTGTTTGTGAAGATTTTAGTAATTTAATAGTTGAATTCATGAATCAACAGAAGTTGAACCACTATGGAGAACCTGAAAGCACTGGATGGCCAACTCGTCTTAGTATAGGACTCTTTAGCAGTGTACATCTACGATCCCGCCTCGCGGGACTCGAACATAGGAACTTCGGTTTTGCGCGTGAACGCTTTACCTCTAAATCATTGAGCCGGCATCCAATGGTGTTAATCTCTAATTTCAACCAGTTCACGAAGTTGTGCCACCGTCTACCATTGTACGCGCGCGAGACTGGCAGGTCCTTGGTTCAAATCCCGCAGGGTGGGATCATGGATGCGCGCTGCCGAGGAGTCTCATACTAAAATGAAACGCCCGTTTAGTGCTTCCAGGTTCTCCATGGTGGTCTAGC